AAAAAAAAAAAAAAAAAAAAAAAAAAAAAAAAAAAAAAAAAAAAAAAAAAAGAGCAGACTGGTAGAATTCCTCCAAAAACTGTCTCAGGTATTTAAGACTAACACTGGTGCCAAAAGTCAAATGCCATGGGCTGGATTTTAAAACTATCCTTTTCTGATTCCCTTCAGCTCTGGACACCAGTGGTCCACATGGGCTGCTCCTACTCTCTTCTCTAAAAGTCTAATGTTTTCACTTCAATTCCCAGGAAAAATGGCTCTGAATTTCTTACAGCAAAGTGTCGCTGGAAGGCTTTGGGCCCTCGGTAGGTGTAGTTTCCACAAATCTCACAGTTGTAGTTGATATTTAGGCCATGAAGTTTATATAGCCAGTAGGGAATGGGCTAAAAAAGAAAAACAAAAAACAAAACCAACATGAAGTATTAGTCTACTAAACTCTATCTGCTTCCAAAATGGGGAATGGTGAGAAAGTGGTAGTGCTGACTTACTTTGCCATCCCAGCCAAGTGGCAGGTTCTTGGGGTTGTAAATGATCTCATTCTCTTCATCTTCACTCTCACTCTCACTAATCTGCTCTTCTTCCTCCTCTTCTCGCTCTTCTCCTGTCCTTGCTTGCTTGCGTTGTACATTTTCATGAGTGAGATGTCGCTGTTCCTAAGGCAGGTCCATAAATGAAAAGTCAGAAAAAAGTAGTGCAGAAGAGGCCAGGCGTGGTGGCTCACACCTGTAATCCCAGGCACTTTGGGAGGTCAAGGCAGGTGGATCACCTAAGGTCATGAGTTCGGAACCAGCCTGACCAACATAGAGAAAACCTGTCTTTACTAAAAATAAAAAATTAGCCAGGCATGGTGGTGCATGTCTATAATTCCGGCTACTCAGGAGGCTGAAGCAGAACTGCTTGAGTCTGTGAGGTGCAGGTTGTGTGGTAAGCTGAGATCGCACCACTGCACTCCAGCCTTGGCAACAAGAGTGAAACTGTCTCAAAAGAAAAACAAAAAACAAACAAACGAAAAAAAACAGTGCAAAATAAGAAGGGGAAATTTCCTGTTGCTGATCCCTTACTTCCAAGGATAAGGTTCTTTCTTCTAGAATAAAGGAAAATCTTGCCTTTCTATCAGAACTCCTTAACAGCAGGCCCTACCTGATCCCAAAGAAAAAAGTCTAAGGTTTTAGCTCACTTGCCTAATTTCTCATCTGAGGCTAATATTACAGAACAACAGAAAACAGTCTCATCTATTCTGACTCTAAAATATTTCCTGGCTGGGTGTGGTGGCTCACACCTGTAATCCCATCACTTTGAGAGCCTAAGGTGGGAGAATCATTTGAAGCCAAGAGTTTGACATCAGCCTTGGCAACACAGTGGGACCGTCTCTACAAAATAATTAAAAATTAGCTAGGCATGGTGGTGTGCACCTGTGGTCCCAGCTACTTAGGGGGCTGAGGCAGGAGGACTGCTTGAGCCCAGGAGTTTGAGGAAGCAGTGAGCTACGATCCTGCCATTGCATTCCAGCCTGGGTGACAGAGCAAGAACCTTTCTCTCTTTTTTTTTCTTTCCCCCCAAAAAACCATCATCCTCATAATGAATCATCCTAGCCACACAGGTGGTTTTGCTGCTAAAAGATGGGATGACAAATAACATGGACCAGGCAGAACCCCCGATACCCCCGGCCCGCCCACAGCCTCTCTGGCTGCCGAGGGGCAAGGGACAGGGGACAGGCAGAGTTCTCTGAGGTTCCCAGGCCTTCTCCCCATGTCAGTCTGTGTCTTCTAGGATAGAAGGTAGTTGCTTTTTTTTCCCTTTTAAAACGTCTGTTTGAAATAAAAAACAAAAGCACACGCGCAAGAGAGCGGGAGGAACGGAGACGCAGCCGGTGAGGCAGCCGAGTCCTTGGTTTTGCAGAGGGCTGTAGCCTTTTCCATTTCGCGTTGCCGTTTTCTGGACAAGCAGAGGTTGCTGGCAATTGGAGCCGGTGGCTTCAGGCAGCGGGTGGGTGCGGGGCAGGGGAGAGGAGAGCCGGTGCCTCCCGGGTCAAGGGCAGCCGGCTGTGTGAATGCGGAAGAAGGCTGGGTGGGCACACGGGGGTGGTGTCACGGCTGAGGCGGCCTCATGGCACAGGAGGAGGTGAGTGGTTCCCAAGCATCTTGCTCCGGCTTGGCCCGGGACTATACCAGCCCGTCGTAGAGGGACAGCGCCTGCACAATGGACGGGTCCGCCTTGGACCCTTCCTGGAACTCCTGCAGGGTCAGCTTCCCGTCGGCATTCTTGTCCATCATGGCAAAGATCCGGTCCACTCTCTTTTCTGGAGTGTTCTCCTCCTCTGGGAGCTCCACAGTGTTCCTCACCATCTGGTAAATGGCGTCCACAATGTCCAGCATCTCATTCCTGGTGATATAGCCGTCGTTGTCCAAGTCATAGAGTTTGAAGGCCCACCGCAGCTTCTCATCCAGAGTCCCCCTCGAGGTCACCAACAGCGCCTAGATGAACTCAGAGAACTCGATCCGCCCGTCATTGTTTTCGTCAAAGACGTTAAAAACAAACGTGGCAAACTTGGTGGGGTCTCCAAACAGGAAGAATTGCTTGTAGATCTTCTGGAAGCCTGCTGCATCGAGCTGCCCACTGGGGCAATCCTTGATGAAGCCTTTGTACCACTGCTGGACCTCCTTCTCAGTAAAGTAGGTCTTCCTGGTCAGCTCCTCCACAACTTCAGGCTTCAACTTGCTGTTGGATTTCCCCATCCTCAGTGGCCGCAGCCCCCGCCCCCCGGGCTGGACCCAGTCGGGGCTCCCAGCAGGAGCTGCTGGGCCGAGCCAGGCTTTTTTTTTTAAAGATGGGGTTTCACCATGTTGGTCAGGCTGGTCTTGAACTCCTGACCTCAGGTGATCCGCCCGCCTTGGCCTCCAAAGGGCTTGCATTAGAGGTGTGAGCTACCACGCCCAGTCCCCAAGATACTTTCTCTAAAAAATATTAATAATAAAATTTTAAAAATATAAAATATTTCCTTAACCAGGACTTTCTTCTCCTTTCCTCACCAACATGACCACATTCTAACTTGCCTTGAGTCTCTCCTCATTCCAGTCCAATTTCCATTTTGCTACCAGGTTTATCTGTTTAAAAATCCAAATCTATGGCCGGGCGCAGTGGCTCACACCTGTAATCCCAGCACTTTGGGAGGCTGAGGCGGGTGGATCACCCAAGGTCAGGAGTTTAAGACCAGCCTG